TTCTTTGGGACACAAATATCATTCTCAAATACAAAGCTTATATTTGCGATACATGTCCCAATCGTACAATCGAATATATTTACCTTTTATCACTTATATCCTATTATCCAGAATCATAAAGTTTTTATGCCTAAATACCCCTACCTCGCACGAGCAGTCAGAAATCAATTCGAAGAAAGTATTTGCCCTAAATTAGAAGACTAATTTCTACTGTATCGAAGATTTCCACCCTGAGGATCGTTGTACCCTTCAACTAATCGAAGATCGATCAATTGAAAATTGCGACACCCTCAACATCCAGCAAGAAGCCGTAGTCCAGCAGATAACACAGAACGAAGTACTAATACTACCAAGTGGAAAAGATCGAATATTTTCCAAGTGTAAAATCGATCAATACATAGAAATCGATAAGCCAAGCCTAATAAAAATACCAGAGAAGTGTGAAATTGAAATAAACAACAAGAAATATTTCAATGATGTTCAAATTGATGAAGGAAAACCACTTATTCTACCATCGATCAAATTTGAACAAATCCATACATTGAATAATTACGAAACAATCAATATTTCAAAAATAAATATGGAAGAAATTTATCAACTTCGAAAAATGGCTAATCAATTGATTCCAGTATCGGAAGAAAGCTTAGCAGAGAAGTCAACCCCTATTATAACCATCATCTTGTTTGTTATGGTTATCCTCACCCTGGTATTCGTCTTATACAGGAAAAAGAAGATCTTCAACTCTGTTTTGGCTTGACTGAAGAAAACTGCCCCTACGAATGAAGAAAATCAATCCGAAGAGGTCCAACCAAAAGAAAGCCCCCATTTTCTTTTGTCTTAAGGAGGGCGGAGTTACGCCCACGGATTCCTGCACACCTGCTAAAAAGATCACGCCATCCTGATGGGAATATGCGGTCCTTGCAGTTTCCACGAAGCCTTCACCAAGCCGAGGAGACTCTTTTCACATTGTTAAAAATCATTCCATTGTCTTTGCTCTTACAGTAATCATCTTGTACTTTATTAAATAAAATTAAAACTTTATTTTTTAAAAAGACTCTCTTGTTTTCTTGAAACGTAATTCGCGTGTGAAAGTTGCACAACGAGTGCGTAGCACGAGTGGTGTAACCACACAAGTATCTTAATGGAGTTAACTCGCGTGTATTGTACAATATTTTATCTACTTCTAACTATAAAAACACACAATGAATTTTAAAAATTATTGTACTTAACTATGTATAACTATATACTTATCCTAAAAATCAATTACCTTAATACCTTTGTTCAAATAACACCATGGCAATGCCAATATGACAGTAAATAATGGTGTCACCATGGGTGTCACTAGTTTAAAAAATGAGCGATTCGGAAAGTATTCCCTCTGACATTGAAGAAGAGGCATTCAGAGCCATTTCCGGATATGTTCTGGATTGCTTCTAGCAAGATCGAAACAGAAGTATGAATACCTATACATACTCTAAGTATGAAAAATGGTGCACCGAAAAAAAAGTACACAGCTATGGAAATGAAAAGGTACTCATAACATATTTTTCCAATTTATCCGCTACTTATAAGCCTTCGTCTCTTTGGGCTTTCTATTCAATGATACGTACTATGATATCTATTAAAATGAATGTATAAACATTGTTCAAACTGTATCATTAACATTTATAATAAATAAGTTTTCATGTTTTTATAATTATTATCAACAGAACAGTTTATTTGTATTTAGTATGTATTTAATGCAAAATAAATGTTTTTTACAAAATATTTTTTCTCTTTGGTAGTCATCTAAAGAAGGAGTGCGGTAATGAAAATGCGTGAGTTAAGAAGCTCTGAACACACTCAAAATGCGTGAGTTAAGAGCTTCTTAACTCACTGACGCAGATAAAATGACTTTTTTATATTGTCAATCACGTCGCAAAAATTAATACTTTAGTGACGTTTGGAAAAAAAAACTTCCAAAGCTGACTTCCAAAAAATGTTTTTTGGCACATCAAGCTATGGAGGCGCATAAAATCTATTACGCTCTAATAATTTAGTTGGCGAAAATATGGAATTTTATGTTAGTATCACAAATTATATTCGACAATAAGCTTAGAAAAATAATAATTTTTAAATTAATTAACGTTCGGGTTCATAGACTTAATAAAATAATTTTATTTTAAACCTATGTTCGGGTTTATTTTTGATTGATGCCCTCTAACGGAGAAATGAAGCACTTTTGTATAAAGGTAAATTATGTGAAATTAACTTATTTTGATCCAAAAAATACGTAGTTGTTCTATGTTCACGGAATAGTGAAACTTCCTGTATATTTCTGTTTGGGAAAATCTGCTTGGGAAAAATAAATCCTCCAAAATTTTTTTTTACAAAAACTATGCGATGTAGCGTTTTTTTGAGAGACAAAGAAAGTATAGTGAATACTAGAGGGACCTTTTGGCCTGGCTATTAGCGAAAACTATCGAGTTTGTCTTAAAATTCATAATTTGTAGGGGTACGATTTACCACCGTTGTGTTCTTCTTTCTCTTTTGTTCTGCGTAAAATAAAATTCACCATGCCGTCACTTTGTGGTATTTCTCAGTGCTTAAAGAATAGTCCAAAAAATTATAGCTTTCCGAATCCAAGAATAATAGTTTGTCTGAGTTTGTTATTTCGGTGATACGCAGCTGAAACCTTTATACCACCAGAGAAAGCTTTTAATTAGTAGTGGGAACTATCGAATGAATACTATCGAAACATTCGATAGTTGCAATTCATTCGAATAATTCGATAGTTAGTAAGAAAACATTCGTTGAAAACTATTCGAATAAAAATTATCGAATAGATCCGTCATCTGCCTTGAAATATTGTATTCTAGTAATTCGGCAGCAAAAACCATTCATTTATAAAATTCATTCATTTATGAAATTCATTCATTCGTCCGGATCGATTATAATAAAATATTAACTGAATTTTAGTTGTCGCCCGGCGACGTAGGTTTCTTTTCGAGAAACCCGACAGCGGTCGGTGGCAATGCTATGAAAGAAGCCGGCATCTTTGATTTTTTGCGGAGTCAGATATAGATAAGGACACATTATTTTTTTTATTGAGGTGCTAAGTATTTACACAGAAAATACATTATGAAAGGCGCTGTTGCCATATTTTGGTATTAGTTGATATTAGCAAAGATTATTATTGTTTGGCTTTAGTTAATTAGGGATAGTATGTCTATATATTCTGCATTTTTTTTATTAAGATTCTGTCGTTACACTGCAATAATACTTGTTATTTTGGATGTAGGAAAATTATTTTTAATGTTTTTTAGCAAAGACTGGTTTAATAAATAATAATAACAGTAATAATTTGTTATACCTATTAACAACAAAATTTAAAATCATTTAATATAAATATTTTCTTTTAAGTAGTAGCAAAATATAAACAACAAATTAGATGTCAAAATTATTTATATTAGATCCTATTTAAAAATAATATAGTCTCTAAATTTTTTGGCAACGTTGGTTTATTAAATAATAATAATTACAGAACTAATTTGTTATATTAACAACAAATTTTAAAATCATGAAATATAAACATTTATTAATTTTCTAAGCATGCAGTGTAATGGAAGGAAAATATAAATAAAAAATTAGAAATCAAAATTATTTATATTAGGTGCTTTATATTACTATTTAAAAATTATATTTACTTTTAATGGCATTTACTTTAAAAAATAAATGAAATATTTTTTCTTCGCAAAAAACTACATGTAAGAGAATTAGCATAAACAAAATACAAACATCGTTAACTTTTATTTTAAATTGGCACGTGTAAAACTTTCATTTTAATTTTCTCACCCCATAGTTTGAGTTCGATAACCATTTACTTAAATATGATTATACAACCACATTACTTAAATATGATTATTAAGTTCAACTAATTCATATTATTAAAACATCTAAAATACAAATATGTATTTTTAAAATTAATTGTAAGTTCATCTCATCTCTTAAAATTGCTGCTTCTCAAAATTTCCCATTAAAAATAGACCATATACCATATAAAATTAAATAATTGAAAGATCGGACTACGGAAAACCACACAAATTTTCGGAAAAATTTTGACCACCTGCACATGCACACAATCGTCAATAAATAAAATTAAAAAATAACTACTATTTTAGTATTTTAACTATTTTAATAAACGCAAAAATAGCACAGTATTTATACGGCGAAGTTATAAAAATTTGGAAGAACTAATAATGCGCTGACGCATACAAAAATCAAACGAATACTAAATTTCATTTATCAAAAGCATTCGATAGTCGTGGCTCAACGATAACCATTTAGTCGCACGGCGAGGTTGTCACATATGCTTTAGTATACAAATGAATGAATGATTTTATTCGAATAAAACCATTCGATAGTTGAAATCATTCATTCATTAACCATTCGATAGTCTAATTCATTCGATAGTTCCCATCGCTAGCTTTTAATGCTTATCGACATTTTACAACCGAAGATTAAAATATATTAAAATTAAAATATAAAACACTTATGAAAGCATATTAAATATGTTAATAGTTTATATAGTTTTTAGAACCAAAGTGAGGGTTGCTGGATCAGATGTACCCTCCGATGGCAAAAATTATATCAGGTTTAGATCCTCACAGTTCCATCTTGGGGCCTCTATTATTTTTAATTAATATATGCGGCTGCTTTACCATTAGCTATTGTTATTAACCATCACTCTAATATACTTATGTATGCTGATGATACTCAATAATTATTTCACACCCTTGTTTTGATTTTTATTCAACTTGCCAAAAGGTAAATAAAGCTTTAGACCAAATACTAAAGTAATATGCAAAATTTTATTCACTAGACATTAATCCGAATAAGCAAGAACATACTTTTTAATTACTAATCTATACCTGATCTGTTTCATAAACGATTTTTTGTTAATTTGTATTAAGTATGTATTACATTTCATTTAATTTTACATTTTCAATCTGTATTTCCAGCTGAGGCACGGTGGTCCAAAATCGCCTCATCGCCACATCGGTGATTTGGGAAATGTTGAAGCCAAAGATAACGGAATCGCCGAAATTGTACGCATTGACCCTTTGATGTCCTTAAGCGGTGGACCTAGGGGTGTTGTAGGAAGAGCTCTGGTGGTGACTGAAGGCGAAGACGACCTGGGATTAGGTGGAAATGCTAATAGTTTTGTAGATGGCAATTCGGGCAAGCCAGTGGCTTGTGGCATTATAGCTTATATAAGATAACTAAAAATTCATGTGAAACCCTTAGATCTGTATAGCTTATATTTATAAAAGAAATAAAAATACAAAATGTGTAAATTTAGGAAGATAAATTAGAATACAAAACATGAAACATTTGATCTGTATATGATGGAATCTGAAAGAATTATATTAAGTGATATTATACTGTTTGAAATAACGTAGGCAAGACTTTTACATTAAATTATAAATTATACACACTTCCTATTTTGTTTATAAAATGTAAACAATATTGAAGAAAAATGTGTGTTTCTATCGTTGAGATTCATATGTCAATTTTGTTTTTTATGCAAATAAAATTTATTAAAAATTAAACATTAAATACTCGTATATATATCTCATTCTAAATATTAATATATCTTTCATGAAATCTTTATTCGTTTATTTATTATTATCGTTACTTAGCAAAGGATGGAACACAAGTATATCTTGCGGTTGTTTGATTATTTACAGGGTGTCCCACTAAGAATAGCTCTCGGCTGTATCTCGGAAAGTAGTAGCCGTAAGGCTTGCGGAAAAAAATATTTATAACTAAAGGGGCTATGAGAAATTGCTGGAAATTATTTTCAAGTTTGTATAACGGCCGCTAGAGGGCGAAACTGCTATGGAAAATAAGAAAATAGAATTTTTACAGAATTTTGCCTAGATAATGGGTACTATAAATAATAGCTTCATAATCTTCAGTAAATTTTGGATTTTTTTTGTTAGAACCATTTTCCCCTATCTGCTAAAATAAAGTGGTGGGGGAAGGTTAGATCTACCTTTATTTAAATGTTAAGAACTCCGGACTGGATGATTAGAATCCTCATTTAAAAGAGCGTTTCTTACTCTATATTATAGCATAAAAACGATAATAATAAGGTTTTGAACGTAGGCGCTAGGGGGCGCTTTCTTACAAGTTAACAAACAAACCGCGTTTTTTTCAAAAAAATTAAATACGATAGTGTATGTAATTTTAGCTGATACTAAAGAGTAGTAAAATCTTAAAAAGTCAGCGGAAACCGCATCTTGATATCTTCTTTCAAACCGAAGATATTAGCAAAATTATAATAAATACCAAAAAATAAGTTCTTAATTACCTTATTTTTACAACACGGTATCAGTAGCCCTCTTGATTATGCCCTTTCTAACAAAAAATAAGATAGAAACAGTTAGTTTATTTTAAAATCGACGATATACCAGGATACATTAGTATCTAATAATTAAGATATTAATAAGAGTGAACAAGAATGCCTCAGTGAAGTCATGGTAGACTTTGGAAAAGAATTGCTTTTGACATAATAGTATAAACGTCAAATTGATATTAGGTTTTCGCTGACTTCTTAAGCTTTTACTACTCTTTACTATCAACTTAAATTACATATACTATCGTATCTATTTTTTTCGAAAAAACGCGCTTTGTTAAATTGTAAGACAGCGCCCCCGAGCGTCTACGTTCAAAACCTTATTATTATTGTTTTTATAGTATAACATATAGAGTAAGAAACGCTCTTTTAAACGAGCCCTCGTTTGTTGGATTCTGATCATCCACAGTCCGGAGTTATTAACATTTAAATAAAGATAGATCTAACCTTCCCCCACCACTTTATTTTAGCAGATAGGGGAAAATGGTTCTAACAAAAAAAATCCAAAATTTACTGAAGATTATGAAGCTATTATTTATAGCATCCATTATCTAGGCAAAATTCTGTAAAAATTCTATTTTATTATTTTCCATAGCAGTTGCGCCCTCTAGCGGCCGTTTAACAAACTTGAAAATAATTTCCAGCAATTTCTCATAGTCCCTTTAGTTATAAATATTTTTTGCCGTACCGTGAAATGGGGTGACTTTGCCTCTTGGGGTGACTTTGCCAAATTCCGTCCGAAAATATGTTAGACGTAGCCGTAGCCATTACTTGAAAAGAACGCGTTATGTGTTATCGGTAAATTATGGGTGGAGGCGCCCCACGTCTCGGAACGTCGCTAAACGCTTGCCGTCAGTTGCGATGTATCATTTACAGTGCTGTGAAGCCAAATCTGTTTTTAAAGCCTATTTTGTGCGTTTCAAACTTCTACGTGGCTGCAATAGCTAACCACGTTATAATGAGGTAAGTATTATGCAGAAGTTCGTTATAATATTGAGGGTGATGAAGCATATTTTACGTAATTATGCTTTTAAATGGGGTGGCTTTGGTCTATCAATAAGAATAAGGAAGAGGGCAAAGACACCCCATATAAGCAACTAACTTTGCCCATCCAGTTTTTTACTTTTTTTATATATATATATTTGTTTAATAAACAAAAAAGCATATTATTGTTGTGTTGTCCTTATTACCACTTATAGCATAGACCATGCGCATTTGAGAAAATACAACAATTTTTGAAATAAACACGATTTAAAGTTCAGAATTGGGCAAAGTCACCCCACTTCACGGTATGCCCTACGGCTAATACTTTCCGAGATACAGCCGAGAGCTATTCTTAGAGGGACACCCTGTACAGGGTGGGTCAAATTCGACGCTTTTAAATGGAAACACCCTTTTCTATAGAAGATAGGCAAAAACTAATATCGGTGTCTGGAGCTCAATTTTTATCAGAAACATGATGGTGAAAACCGCACATCAATATCTGTTACCGTTTCGGAGTTACGGGGTGTTTTTCAAAAATGTGCATTTTTAACAAATCGCTGTAACTTTTTTGCTATGGAAAATTTTGTATTTCAATGAAAACATTTCCAAAGCACCTTTTTACGTAGAATTTAATGGTTTAAGTATAATATTTTTAAAATTAATAATTTAAGAGTTATCAACAGAAAAATTGATTTTTTATTTGGGACACCCTCTATATTTTTAATTAACTGAAAAGAATTTAAAATTACCTTTCCAAAAATATAGCACACTTAATATTTTGTTATAATCCCCTTCGAAATGCAGAATTTTTAAAAGTTCGCCACTTTTAACTAGTAGGCTTTGGACCCCTTATTGATGATATTCCCTTAATGGAACTAGAAAACATATTTTTCCAGCAAGACAACGCACCGCCTCAGAACGCTGAAGTTATCAGCAAATTTTTGCAGCGAATTTCAAGAATATTTGAATAGCTAACCAAGATCCCAGCCGTTGGCCGTCGAGGCCGCCTGACTTAGTGCCCATGAATCTAATCCTATGGATATATTTGCGGAAGAATAAAGGTTCCTTATTTTTCCATATAATCTACACAAGGATTAGAAATACTTAGCAGTTATGAGAGGGTATCTTTCACTCCCTCTGAGTTAATGAATTCCGCGAAAAATGTTCAAAAACTGCCCCGTTTGTCCATAACAGAAGACGGTCGATATGTCGAACACTTGTAGTAAAATCTCATGTCTTAGTTTGCTATTTATTTTTATTGTTATTAGATATAGTTTAAATGTGTTGATGTTGGTTAAATATATTTTAAATTGTTATAAAATTCTGCATCTCTCATAGCAAATATTATTTTCGTTTTAATTGATGCTCACAGCTAGAATTTTTTTGCATTACAACCGGTGCCGTTCAAAGCCTACTTATTTAAAGCTGGCGAATTTTTATATACTTTTTTTTGTTTCGTTTCTTTGACCTGTATACTATATATTTTTTGTTTTTATTACTCTTGGCTTTAGGTCGTTGGGGTTGCAAAGATGTTTCTAGATTTTGTTCATTATTTTTTTATTTTATGACGACGTTTCGACAGTATGTCTTTTTCAAGCCTCTTGAACGTAGATTCTTACAGAGTTAAAATTTGTTAAAACTGGACAACACAATAACACATATTAACTATTGTTTTGTTTTTGGACATCACACTTTACTATAGAGCATGTACGTATTTCCTAGCAGATTGCTCTGTATAAAACACCTGTGTTTAATACACCAGCCATGTTTTTACAGCAGTAATTATATATTATGCTCAAATTTTAAATTGTACATAATTGTCAATAAGGGTAATAAAAAATAAATACTTTCTTACATATTTACACTCCCAGAATAGTCTAAAACAAGCTATTATACATATATAAAATTTAGCTAGAAATTTCACTTCAAAAAAGCCGTTAAAGACATCAAATAGGGCAAATCCCACTTTTTTACACCTGTAAGAAAGAAGCGATTCATTCAGTTGATGTAGAGTTGCTGATAGAAGAGCACATTTCTGAGTCCCAAAATTTTTTGTGTAACGTTCCGTGGTTAAAAAGGTAAGCGTATGTTTAATGATAATCAACACCGAGTCTCATATTAAAAACATTTTTTAAATTATGTAAAGTTTATTGTCTCCATATAACATATAACATGTAGATAATCATATATATTTGTAAAAGATATATCGTTTAGAATATAACATTTATAATTCGAAAATGATTAAAATATCAACTCCGAGTCTGAGAGTGCCTCGGAGTTGACTGGTGTTCTCGGAGTTGATGAAATCAACTATTAAGCATTTAACAAGAAATTAACAAATTAAGCTTTTGCGCCCGTTAAATTTTAAAAATGTGTATTTTTTAATCGGTTAAAGGAAAATGAAACGCATCAAAACCGAAGAAGAAAAACGAAAAAGAAAACCGAAGCTACAGCGACTGCGTAGAATAAAAATAAAGCATAATACAGAACACGAGACATTGAAGATAAAGGAAAATTAGGCAAAATTCATAAAACTGGCAATCTTTCAAGAAAGGACCAAAGAGCTAAAAGGAGCTAAAAGGAGCTCTTTGGGTAGAAATTTAAAAAAAAATATATAGAAAAATTAGTAAAGAATTATGGAAGAAATTTTGTCCGTTCTAATGGAAGAAATATATAGAAACGGTTTTATGGAAGAAATATACAAATGTATCGACAAAAAAATTGGATCTAACTCCTATATTTCTGAGGAAGGAACAATGTATTGGAAGTAATTAATAAAAATGGAAATTGTTTTAAATGGCGGAAAAGAAAAGTTATGTAAAAAATTACAAAATCTAAAGTATTTTTTTGTTCTTTTCATGAAACATACGACAAATAAAATCCACCAGTATAAAGTTATTAGAGCTTTAAAACACAAAATAGGATCATTTTTATGAGCAATATGGGTTACGGGTAACAGCGCTTTCAGATGGAGCGGACCGTACGCGCGGAGCGTCCGCGCGGATGTTTTTCCAATATAGCTCATCCGGACGGAGCATACGCGACCCATGTGAACTCGTTCATATAAACTCATGGTACTTGCTCGAAGTCGCGGACGGTCCGTCGCGGACGCTCCGCTGCATCTGAAAGCGCTGTAAACATATCAGACGGCAGGTCAACTCCGAAGTCGACCCGGTGTTGACTATTATTTTACTGTTCGTTTATTTGATTACATTTTAGTCATTCTAACTATTAAAATTTCATTATAAAGACGTAGGTACTTTAAATTAAATATATATAATATTTAATTATACGAGTAATAAACAAGCAGTTGCTCAACTCCGTATGTAAGTTGTCAACACCGAGGCAAGCCAGTTTTTTTTATGTCAAAGTTTTTCAAAAAATATTAATAATTGATTTCTCCTGAATAGTACACCATGTCATTAAGGGTAACATCTATTATCAGAGTGAATTTAAGAATTATTAGTTTCTTTTTTTTTATTTTGCTCTGGCTTGAAATTGTCCCATATCTGTGGATTGCCCCATGTATATTTTTTTCACTCAGTAGTTTTATACAAATACCAATTAAAAAATATGTAGGTGGCTCATACATTTAAAACTAGACTAGACTAGTTTATTTGAATGACGTGATACAGCGCCTTTGGCTAGAATAAACTTTTCTGAGATATCTAAAATTAAAAAAAAGTATCTAAAATAAAACTACCAAATATGTTAAAATAAATTGTTTAATTCTAGATTCAGTAACATTTTTTTTCGACCATGCATATCCTCACAGTAGAAAAATATAAACATAAAAGCATATTTTTATTAAGAAATAGAAGTATAAAGACTAATAAAGAAATTATTAACAATAAACGATTAAATCTGAACAGAACAAAAGTAAACACATAAACAACATAAACAATTTAAACTGATAATTTTTGATGAAAATTATTTTTACAATATTCAACAGTCTAGATGCAATAATCTTATTCTTAGTGAAGTTAATCAGTTTGAAGCAAATATAATTTGTTATGATTATATCATTATTGTAGACATTATATTATAATATATGTATATATATTAGAGTATGTATGTAGACATTAGGGTGTTTCAAAATAAAAAAATATTCTTATGGTGTTCAAAAGTTGCAAGTACGTTTAAAAACCATACTTTTAGCGCCTAGTAGAACCCTTAATATTAATATTAAGGTTTGCCTCTATTTATTTGTTGTCTTTCCATTTAAAGAACACGGATTTTTTTTATTTTTGAATTTTAATAATTCCGGAATGGTTTGTTTCCGCAACATCCTCGCGAGAAGATTTATAGAAAATTTCACGTTCTACAAAAAACGTCTGAAGGTCAAAGTTCCTCAGATCAACCGTTTCAAAGATATCAGCGATCAAAAATAACACCAATCGAAAATTTCAAAATTTTCCAATAAAACTACAAAAAAATATCATACTCGATATTTATATAATTTTTCCTGTAAAATCACTTCAATTCTGTTAACCTATGACAGTCGCCAAAATTTTTGTTTCTAAATGTACTTTCAACTTTTCAGCGCCATAAGAAAAAAAAATATTATGAAACACCCTAGTAGACATACACTGGAACATTGTTTGAGTTTTTTTGCGAATGGTAATACCAAATTTTAATAAAGACCACCAGGCCAGGCGTGACGCTCAGAACCATCCATTTCACCAGCATGGGCGTTACTACGTAAAAGGTGATGGTCAGTGCCTCCTATCTGGGCACCACAAAAACAAGTTGCAATCTGATTGGCACCTCCACACTCGCCTATAACGTAAGGATGCCCATTAGGACATTTATACCAATGTCCTTTAGCCATGCCCATAGCTTTAACTATTTCTGTCCGTTCAGCATCAGTAATATTGACTACAGATCCTACTTTTTCAGACAGGCTTTTCAAATTAATGGCCAAAGCCGTATCAATCTCTTTGGTGTATCTAGAATTTGCAAAAACGACTTCTTTAATATTCTCTGATAAAGATTGAATATCGGGATTATTTGCAAAGCTTGAATTTGTAACTATACTCTGATATTGAGCAATTCTGTTTAATCTACAAATTTCATTTCCTAGGTCATCTATTTCTTGATCGGTTACGTCATCTTGCGATCGTAACAGAACTTGCAGAATAATGTCTAACTGTGTAATTTCTTCTGGAGTGTACCGTATATGTCGATCTTTAAAAATCACTTTAATGTCAGATAATATCTGTATTTTAGATTTTACTGCATTAAGTTCTGTTAGGCCTATAGGTTGTCTTCGATCATTTCTTACAGGTTTCAAACGCTCTTCTAGCATAGTAAACAGTTCAGTTAGAGAATTGGAATCTAAAATATAATAAATATTATAATATATTGTTATAATACCTATACAGGATGGCGCCTCTCATACGCCGCGGAGGCTCCATGGAGAACGACAGTTTGTATTGAAATGAAATTTTATGAGCATATGTAGGTTAAGTCTGAGCACTTTTTAAAAATATAGAGAGTTCTACAGGGTGTCCCCAAAAATAGTTGTTTTTTGTAATGGAACACCCTATATATTAATAAATTTTCGGATTCTTAGAGAAAAATAGAGGTGAATTTTATTAGAGAAGTGTATGACTAAAATGTAAGGTTTTTGACATATTTAACATTTTCTAGAAATAAAGAACAATTTTTAAATTGCAATAAAACTACCTAAATTGGAATTTACCCGGTATAGGCTAATATGTAGTTAAATTAACTATTGTACTTTAAATCAAATTAAAACTTGATCCAAACAGTTATACAGGGTGAGACAAAATTAATATTGAACATTGTTCACCTTTAAAAGCAGGTTCCTCTTTTATTTTAAATGGAACACCCAGTATATTATTCCGATATTCAATGGAGAATTAATGTCACTTCAAAATACTATTAAGGTTGCCTACCCCTCAAACAAAGACTTTCCTAGAGATTTTCATTTACATGATTTGATCTGAGTAGATATCCATCATTTGATAAAGTCTAGGTGGCTGTGATATGTCTGACGTTACTTCAACATAGCTCTCTAATTAGTCCAATTTCAACAACTAGTTATCATTTTGTGTCAGTTAAAACAGAAAATTTTTTCAGAAATTTAAATGTGAAATTCGAATTTTTCAAAAACTTATCCTACACCAGAGAGAATTGATATGATTCTATTACACCAATAATAGAATACTTAAATGCTCCTGATTTTATCTAGTCTGGATTTTTTATGGGGATATGTTAAGACAGTGTTTACAAAACTCGACCAACTATTGTCGACAACATGAGAGAAATTATTGTAGCTGCTTTTCAAGGTTGCAGCCATATATGCCTTTTAAAAGATCCTTTTGAAAAGTCAATCATTTTATGAAGTTAACAGGAAAGGAAGCATTTTGAGCATTTGATTTCATCTAGGTAATTTTCGTCACATAATTATACGTTTATATCTAGTTTTAATTCTGTAATCTTTTTATTACCGTTGAGTATTTTACTCTGCAACCTTTAATTTTTGTTAAATTTACAAAAGGTATATCACACAGCCACCTAGATTTTTTCAAATAATAAAGATCTACTGACGCAAAATCATATAAATTAAAATATATAGGAAAATCTTTGTCCGAAGGGTAGGTAACCTTAATAATATTTTGAAGATATATAAATTCCCCATTGAACACCGGAAAAATATACTAGGTGTTAAAATAAAGGAGTAACTTGCTTTAAAAGCGACTAATGTTCCATATTAATTTTGTCTCACCCTGTATAACTTTTCAGGTCAAATTTCAACTTGGTTTAACATACAATGGTTACTGTAATTAAATATCAGGCTATACAAGGTCAACTAAAATTTAGGTAGCTGTTATCGAAATATGAAATTTAGTCTTCATTTTTGCAAAACGTGAAATATGTCAAAATCCTTAGATTTTTTCCTAGAATCCGAAAATCAATTAATAACGTACATATGCTGCCAAAATTTCATTTCGATATAAACTACCGTTCTCATTGGAGCTTCCGCGGCGTATAGTACATTGATATTAGCATATTTAGAAAAAAAAATAATAAAGTTTTGATATGTTGAGGTTATACGTACTAAAGGTGACTTTTTAAAATCAAAAGAGTTCTTAACTGTAAAGTGTGAGCTTCACCCCCAAAAGCCACCCCCAATACGCACTGCGGTGGTTTTTCTCGAAAACCATTAGTCGCACAGAAAATTTTATTCTTGTCAAAAATATTCCTTATAAAATTTGCTACAAAAAAGGTTCTATTCATTATTTATATTTATCCGATGCATTTCGAGCAATAACTGAAAAACGGAGTGCAAAAAAATACAGGTAGCCTTTCAAATTATAGTCTCGCAAGGTATTTAAACGCACCAAAAACTTTTCAAAATCAAAAGAGTTCTTAACTGTAAAGTGTGAGCTTCACCCCCAATACGCACTGCGGTGGTTTTTCTCGAAAACCATTAGTCGCACAGAAAATTTTATTCTTGTCAAAAATATTCCTTATAAAATTTGCTACAAAAAAGGTTCTATTCATTATTTATATTTATCCGATGCATTTCGAGCAATAACTGAAAAACGGAGTGCAAAAAAATACAGGTAGCCTTTCAAATTATAGTCTCGCAAGGTATTTAAACGCACCAAAAACTTTTCAAAATCAAAAGAGTTCTTAACTGTAAAGTGTGAGCTTCACCCCCAAAAGCCACCCCCAATACGCACTGCGGTGGTTTTTCTCGAAAACCATTAGTCGCACAGAAAATTTTATTCTTGTCAAAAATATTCCTTATAAAATTTGCTACAAAAAAGGTTCTATTCATTATTTATATTTATCCGATGCATTTCGAGCAATAACTGAAAAACGGAGTACAAAAAAATACAGGTAGCCTTTCAAATTATAGTCTCGCAAGGTATTTAAACGCACCAAAAGGATACTTTTCAAAATCAAAAGAGTTCTTAACTTTAAAGTGTGAGCTTCACCCCAAAATACCACCCCCAATACGCCCTTCGATGGTTTTTCGCTTTTTTCTCAGAACCCGTTGGTCCCACAAAAATTTTTCTTATAAAATTTGCTACAAAAAAGGTTCTATTCATTATTTATATTTATCCAATCCATTTCGAGCAATAACCGTTTGAAAAATGGAGTACAAAAAAATACAGGTCGCATTTCAAATTATAGTCTCCCAAGGTATTTTAACGTGCTAAATATACACGCAACAGATATAATACTGTATAATATAATCAAAAACATTGCCTATATTCCACTAAACTAACATTCATACTTTCATCTACATATTGTCATCGTCTCTAGAATGTGCTCAGTATTCGAACAACTTTGCCCACGACAGGTTCCGCACATAGTTGTACATTTCATGCCGGCTTTAATGCAACTGCATCTTTTTACACAATCTTGTTTGCTGATGTTCAAATTATTCGTAATGCTATCAAAATATCTGAGAAAAATGAACAAGTTCTAGTCGTTGGACAAGATGTCGATCTTGATGTTTTATTAGCAGCACTTTCCCCCAATGAAAAAGACATTCTTTTTCTGAAAGAAACCATAGGTAATGTGAAACAACGAATGTATAGTTCGAGAGACTTGCAATCATCCAGTATAATACGTAATTTAAAAAAATCAATTTTAGTTATTCACGCCATTAGCGAGTGTGACAACATCATGATTTTTTGGAAAAGGAAAACAGCAACACATACAACACATTTAATAAAGAAAAAGACCTTGATAGTATCGTCGATATTTTTAACAAGGCAAAGTCAACACCTGAAGAAATTGGAAAAGCTGGAGAGACATTTATACTGAAACTATACAAACTTCAATCATCTGAAGGGAGCCTTAGTGAACAAAGATACGCTTGTTGAAACTAAGATACGCTTGTTAACTAACTTATTGAAAGTTAGTTGGTCAAGCAAACAACACGGTACTTTTATCAAAATTGCCTCCCACATCTGCTGTAGCTAGCCAACATTCCAGGACAACATATCTTCAAGTACCAATATGGCAAGAACAATCTATAAAACCCGACCAGTGGGGCTGGAAGAAAATCAACAACACCCTGTCACCTTTATATACAACAGAATCGCCCGCCCCTGCTTCAATTATGTCAGTAATAACGTGCAACTGCAAACAAGATTGTGTAAAAGATGCAGATGCATTAAAGCCGGCATGAAATGTACAACTATGTGCGGAACCTGTCTTTATGTGCGGAATCTTAGTTTCAACAAGCGTATCTCTGCTCACTAAGGCTCCCTTCAGATGATTGAAGTTTGTATAGTTTCAGTATAAATGTCTCTCCAGCTTTTTCAATTTCTTCAGGTATTGACTTTGCCTTGTTACAAATATCGACGATACTATCAAGGTTTTTTTCTTTATTAAATATTTGTATGTGTTGTTGTTTTCCTTTTCCAAAAAATCGTGATGTTGTGTCACACTCGCTAATGGCGTGAATAACTAAAATTGATTTTTTTAAATTACGTATTATACTGGATGATTGCAAGTCTCTCGAACTATACATTCGTTGTTTCACATTACCTATGGTTTCTTTCAGAAAAAGAATGTCTTTTTCATTGGAGGAAAGTGCTGCTAATAAAACAACAAGATCGACATCTTGTCCAACGACTAGAACTTGTTCATTTTTCTCAGATATTTTGATAGCAGTACGAATAATTTGAACATCAGCAAACAAGATTGTGTAAAAAGATGCAGTTGCATTAAAGCCGGCATGAAATGTACAACTATGTGCGGAACCTGTCGTGGGCAAAGTTGTTCGAATACTGAGCATATTCTAGAAACTATAGACGATGACAATATGTAGATGAAAGTATGAATGTTAGTTTAGTGGAATAAGGCAATGTTTTTGTTTATATTATACAATATTATATCTGTTACGTGTATATTTAGCACGTTAAAATACCTTGGGAGACTATAATTTGAAATGCGACCTGTATTTTTTTGTACACCATTTTTCAAACGGTTATTGCTCGAAATGGATTGGATAAATATAAATAATGAATAGAACCTTTTTTGTAGCAAATTTTATAAGAAAAATTTTTGTGGGACCAACGGGTTCTGAGAAAAAAGCGAAAAACCATCGAAGGGCGTATTGGGGGTGGTATTTTGGGGTGAAGCTCACACTTTAAAGTTAAGAACTCTTTTGATTTTGAAAAGTATCCTTTTGGTGCGTCTAATCTCAACATATCAAAACTTTATAAATTTTTTCTTCTATTCGGCTATTTTAGGTCTAATATAAATATACTAGTATGAGAGGCGCCACCCTGTACGTTTGTGGCGGATCCATTTCTCCAAAAAAGACCTTCTGGGTATTTCGC